CTGCCCTGTTCTTAAGGTGACATTTCCCATTTGGCATCCTGAAGTAGATACCACAATATTGCACTTCTAATTTTGTCATAGAATCACTGTCAACATGGACAGGTGGCAATTTTTTCTTACTATCTCCTCTTCAAATGAATCATCGGGAGATACTCTAGCCAAACACGCTTCTCTAAAGAAAGCAGTAGTGATGGAGGGACGAACAACATATGATGCCCCCAAGAGATTTCAGGCAAAACTGCTATCCTATTTGTACAACTGTCAAGCAGCACTACTAAGATATTCTTCTGAGAGAAGATCTTGGTTGTTAACATTTCTTAAAGTAGTTGGAAGAATTGGTGGCACTTGAACTCCTGACCACTTGGCTTTGGGTATATTCACCTAATTTGGATGCATTTGGGAGGGACAGTAGATCTCATTTAGCTTCCTCTAAGGATTATATTTCTACTGAAATGCAGAAAGACATGATGGACATGCTAGAAGTGTGTCTTCCAAAACTGTTTGTGCCGTCAGATTGTGCGGTTGCCTGATAACATCAAGCTTTACTTTCTTGTTTTCAGTGCTTGAAATATCACCATAGTTGTTGTTCAGTCTCTTCCAGATTGCCCAAAGCACTGTTACTTCATAAACAAGGGCTCAGAAAAATCAGATTTAGCAGGAACCTTGGTCAGTAAAATCCCATTTAGCCATCCGAAGTGCGTGCCTGGCGTAATAGAGATTCTTCGACATCAAGTGGCATATAACAGTCTTATTAGCAGCTGTGTCTCTGAGAAGCATATAAATGAAGGTAAATTGTGTGGTTGGAAGTAATGGTAGAGTATTAGAGAGAAAGTAGCTTCTAAGCTGGATGTTAACAGATTTACTGCTCACTTGCCAAAGCTGTCATTACTTGTGGAGTATTTTAAATGATAAAAAAAATCCTTAATTCTACAATTACACTCTGTTGAATAAGTTTTTTTAAAAATCGCCTAGGCCTGACACTTCTATAAGCATAAACTAAGCTGCCAAAGTAATGAATAATTAGATTCTACTGTATCAGTATTTTTTAAATTCTGGCATGTGATTCAGCCAAAAAGAGTCCAGGTTCAATGGGTGGATATCACTAAATAGTAATTTTATTTCTAGATGATTCAGAACTGCTTTACTTTGAAGTGGTACCACACAAGAACACCAGCTTTTCTGTCTTTTTCCTTCATCCTGTGAAAGAGAATTTAGCCTGTGGTATGTGTTGAATAATTGATACTGTCCTCTTTATTGGGCTGACAAGGGACTTGGTTCTATCTATCTAGGCTCTTGCACTATGCTTCTCAGTTACAAATACATTCTAAGGGCTACTCTCAATGGTGTGCAACCCATGAAAAACACTTGTGTATAAATTTATACACAAGTAGCACTTTTGTATAAATTGCTTACTAAAAAGTGTTTTGTATTCAACATAAACCAGAAAGTAAATGCAAATATTCAAGTCCTATTCTGTCTTGGTCTGCAGTCAATTAATAAATTGTACTAAATTCTACTATTTCTGATTTAAGTATACTAGGAAAAAGCAAGTCTTATGTAAGAGCATTGCTGCAAGCCCCTTCCCATTAACTTCAGTCTTACCTCTCTTGAAGCATCAGAATGAAAGGATGGTTTTCAATGTTTATAAAAATGTTTATTTTGAAATACTTATATTCTGTTCTTAGTGATAATTGATGTTATAACCTCCAGAGAAGTCCAATGTCACCTTCATTTAAATCCTCAAGATCCAACTCTAAATTCTAGTGATGATTTTATAGCAAGAGCTGTGAAGCGGTAAGTAGTTTTATTTTATTTCATAACAGATGGAATGAACCTCAGATGTCCATTTAATAGAAATGCGTGCTCACAATGCCATAAATGCAGCAACCAGAAAACTTCACTCTAGTAAAAAGTTGTAATAGTGAGAATAAGTTACTTTAGTGTCTTAAGTATCTCTTTCAAAAATTTTAAACATTAATAGTGATGGAAAGTGTTTCTTTCTAGTAGAAAGCATGTGAGGCAGGGAAACACTTTCGAATGAATAGAGTTTTACCTTTTATAAAGATGCTTTTTTCTTTTGTAAACATGCTTTTCTGAAGACTGGCTGATGACAGTCTCATGACTGGTATAACTTAGAATAGCATGGAAAGGACTTTTTCTACATCTACCTAATACCAATCAGTGCTGCTTTTCAGAAGGTGACGTGTATATGGCATGTTTACAACACTGTCTCTGGCTTGTTTTCTGAAACAAATTCCAAGAGAGGCAAGTTGCTGTGATATATGAACATATGCTAGAGAAAGGACTGAGAGCACTAATTCATTTGGCGTAAGCTAGCATACAACTATTATCTATTTGATGTCAGCAAGATCAATGCAGGCTGGATTTTGAACCTGTTTAATTAGCCTGCCCTTTAAGTCAGAAGATACTAGATACTATTCCCGGAACCAGGTAACTCTATTGTTAGAGTGGAAAAAAACTAGATAGTGTTTTAGAGAAGATATGCTCTGCACCTGTCCTATACAAAACATTAAAGTTACAATTATAAAACTCAGCAAGAATGAATATATTTCAATATTATTAGGTTTTCATTAAAAGCACCTTACGACTTTTTTTTTTTTTGACCAAACCCTCCCACTATTTCTATCAAAGCTTCTTTGCATGCGAAGCTCAAAGATCCAGCACCTGATTTCATTGTGTCAACATATGTTTCCAGTATAGCACATGTAGGTACATTCTAGTTACAATGTAATGCCTATTAGGTTGTACAAAGCAAAAAGATGCAAGGAGGTAGTGCTGTTTTTCACCACACCTATCATTCAGGTGCCAGCCACAGTTTAAAAAAAGAAGTACGCTGAAGAACGGATTAAGTCTGTAGTAGTGACTAATGTTTCATTTCTTCCTTCAGTTGCATGTCAGTCCCAGTTGTCATGAGAGCTATTTTCAGGAACGCTGCCAAGGTGAAAGCTGATAGTGAAACACAAGAGATGGAAGTAGACACGAAACAAAAACCTGAACCACCATGTGAGCAAATTACGGATTCTAATAGTCTTGAAGAAAGTCTTTCTGTGGCTGGTCAGCAAGATTTGGCAGTGACAGATAAGCCAAGTATTACAGACAGCCCAAAACAAAATCTCTCCACAGCCAAACTGGAAACTCTGGGTGATAACATGGAAAAAAGTAATCCCACAGTAAGCACAGAAACTTCGTGCACAGTGGAGGAAAGTAATTCCACAGCTAGTACAGAAGCTGTTATGACAGATAAGTAAAACACACAATCTACTGTTTGATAATCAAACAAGAAAGAAATATTTTTCCTGGCGTATTGCTTTTGCAGAAGTCGTTGGAGAGAACTTGGCAAGCTCACTGTCTACTTAGTAATTTGTGAATGGAGTTTCCTCTTTGCACACTATTAAATACATGGAAGTAATACTCTTGAATTTGTCTTTTTAAACTTCCAAATTTGGAAAGTCTAACACTGCTTTAGTAACCTTTATTTTTGTCTGCACTATATTCTACCACAGTATAGAAGAAATTTCTGTCTAACATATGTGATACAGGCTATAACATCACACATGCATTTGCAGAAAAGTAATGCTTATCCATGTCAGCATTATGCTAAATAAATTGAGAAAAAGAAAGTTGTTTGAACAATTTTGTACATACGTAATTAATGCAGACAGCCCTATTTGTCCACTATTTCAAAAACAGGTTCAGTAAGAGACTCTTAATTGCAGTTCTGTTTTCCCCTAATTTAGAAGTGGCACTGAGTCTACCAACTCTGTGGCAAGATAATAGAGTCTTTAGTAAGAAAATTGTAAACTCCGTCTCTGAAAATCAAGTAATTTTTACCTTAGCTTTTTTCTGGCCTCAAAGTATAAAACTGTTTTGTGATTTAAATTTTTTTTTAAAAGTATAGTTAAGTCAGCTGTTCAAAATTTCAGTTTGTCTCTGTCTAGACCTGCTTTGTAAACTCCTAACTCGCTGTAAATCAGTTTAGTTAGTGTAAAACAGAAATAGGCATTCACAAAGAAAAGACTTCCTGACCAGAGCAATCTGCAGCTACAGTTAAGGCAAGCAACGGGGAAAGGAGGCAAATATAAAATGTTGGCACAGAAATACAAAGTTGTCAGAAATATGCATTTGTGGCTGACATGTTTCTAAGAGAAGGTGAATAAACCTGGCTTCCTTGAAGAGTATGGGAAAAATATGGAAAGAGAGTTCAGGCTAGAAGGACCGGCAAAATAAATACAAAAATAACACAAGGAAGTTCATTAGACTGGTAACGTATTCAGCGTGCTCTAACAGGCTAAGAGTAGATGGTCTAAAAGTAAAACAATGGAATTTTCAGTAATTCCGCATTTGAAAAGAATGGTATATTTTCAGCAAAAGTGAAATAAATAGAAATAGTAGAAGAAAAAATAGTTTTTAACTGTGAAAGTGCTCTGCATAGTGGTTACAAAAGATAAGAAGAATTGCACAAAAGGTAAAAAATTCCTGTATTTTATATAGTGACTAGAGAGAGTCACAGCACTCTAGAAATCAGCAGCAAATCCTGTTCTATTTCGCATAGAGTTAGCATATCACCAACAGCAGCTTATTCTGCAAGAATAGCTTGTCCATAGCACTGGGCATTTATTTTTTAAATATTAGAAGAGACCTATTTAGAGGGACTATTTAAGGGACCTGCTCCATTTCCAAACTGCTGCCAAAAGAAAAAGTGAGGGTGAAACGATAGCTTCTGACACAGAACAGAAACATGTTTAGTAAATCTTTGTAGAGCTTTAAAAGGAATTTCCCCTTTCTGTGAAAGTTATGTTTAAGATTGAAAGAAAGGGGTTTTTTTGCCAGGAGCCAAAACATGGTGAAGATTTACAGAAATTACCTCTACTGGGAAGTATCAAAATCAGATTTCTCTAAAACGAAGTGGTGCATCAGCCTGTACATGTTCCACAAACGGAGAATAAAATCCAGCTGAGGTAATTTTAAATACCATGAGACAGAAAAACTAATGTTCCAGCTGCTGGACATGATGGAGCATATCCAGTGATAAGCCCAGTTGCTCTACTAGCCAAATAGTCTGCTTTTTAACCCAAGCAAGGGTTGACCTTTCAGGATCTGTGCAGAGGTTTGCCTTGCTGCACTCAGACTGCAAGGAACCAACCTCACCATTATTTCTACAAATGTTTTCACCAGAGCTGCCAACGTCTTCATGTTTTCCAGCTTTAGCTTCATTATACTCTGTCCCAGTGGGAGCTGTGTGATTAAGGTCCATGTCCTGAACAGAATTTAAAACGTGTCCAAGATGTGGCTGTTGTTCAATAGAATTCAGATACTTAAGCACATCTTCTTCATGCTTTCCAACCACATCAAGAAGATTATTTATCTTACTTAAAGCAGAATCATGTCCATTAAAATGACACCAGGATAAGAGAGCACTGAAAAGTGAAGAACAACAAAAAAAAAGTAATTACATGTACCCACACAGACCTCCAGTTGTTAAAGGGAGATAGCAATGTGACATGATATCTATACTATATAAATGTATATATGTTTCATTCACATTTTCTGGGAAAATCAAGCAGTAGAACTGAATATTAAGCTTAAATATGTAGATTCAGATAATTTTGGAAGAACAACTGAAGGAGGATTTTTAAGAATGATTACTCTGCCCCCAGGTAGGCAATTCCCTATATTCAAGACCTGAGAATTCTCAGGTTGCTCACTTTGGACAGATTTACAATGCACTTTTCTTTTTTTAAATTAAAACAAAAAAAAACCTGCATGCACATGTACACACCCTCCACACACACACAACCTTAAGGAGTTTGTAACCTACTTCAGGGTTCCTCTGAACTGGCCACATGTAACCATCAGCTCAGCACCGTGTCTGTAACCTTGATTAAAGCCTTCCTGGAGTGCAAGTTCTTTCCCAGCCTCAATTCCATCCCTATAGCCTTCCTATAATAAGAGTAGTGAAACAGGTTGTTCACAAGATGAAAAATTGGACCCATGACAATTTCATAACAATAAAAAAAAAGTTTAAACAAGTATTCAGTCTCTTAAATTATAGCTTCTAGTTTTGAACATCCCTCCCAGCTACATCCCCACTGCCACACCAAAACATGCTTTTTGCAGTGCATTATGATTTACTGATCTGTAAGATCCAGTTCTTTTCCAAAAGGATCCCCAGAAGGTCAGAAAATAAGGAAAGTATTTTTAGAAACATCAAAAAATAAGACAAATCTGCAGGAAAGCATGCTTGCTTTCATGATGACCAACTCCTTTATGAAAAATTCCTTAAAGAATACCACATATAGATTTCTAGACATCTAAAAACACATAGGCTGCAAAGCCTCCCCTTTAGCAGAGGTACTCTTCTGTCTGTAATCCATCTAGCTGTTTTCACAAAACTAATTATTGAGCCTTGCTTCTCTGTTTGCCAGATGTTGCTCAATTCAAGAGTTATACCAGAAAAAAAATGGTGATGGAGTGAGTCACATATAAATACACAAAACGTTGTGATTGCTTTCTGTAAGAAACAGCTAATGATTGTAATGCAAATTAATTTCTTTATATTCTAATCACATTTACCATATAACGTAGAATAATTCTTAACTTTTTTCACATCAAAATTGCAAGTTGTAAGAGTGAAAACTTCTATTTGCTCATGAGAGAAGAAAACTGGTGGCCTTGCCAGAAAAATAGCCAGGAACAAGAATGTTTCTTTATTTTGCCCAACATACATCTCTAACTTCAATAACATTTTATGATTTTGCAGTATCTACTCATAAAATACCAGAGGGATTTGTGTAAGAACACTATAAACAGCCCCTTAAGAAAACCAGTCTTTTCAAGGGACTCAGATGCAGGAAACTTTTCCTTGGAGAATAATACAACAGCTCTATTGTAATACCCTTCCTCATCAACAGCCTACACAACAGCTTCCATTCATGTTCTTCAGCCAAATGCTGTTCACCCGTGAGCAGACGAGCCCTACTGGCTCCACTCTGAATGATAATGTATCTGTTGAAGTAACCTGGGTTTATGTAGTTGTTTTGTTCCCTGTAGAATTCCAGGGAGGGACGGAATGTGGAAACTTGCTTTCATAAAATGTATTTTTCACTAGGAGAATAAATAAGCCACAGAACTACCCAGACCGCAACGTCCAATCGTGGTTGCACATGGAGTTGCACATCTTAAATCTGACTGATGAAGAACTCTACTTAAAAACCCAAAAATCTCATATTTCTTTATTAGCACTGTTTAGCTGTATTGCCCTATGTTTACTAGTGGTATACCTACACGTACGAAGCAAATAGCTCGCATCAGAATTTAGCACTACCTTTTAAAAATGCACATGGTTGTACAGAGTGAGCCAATGTCTTTTGGTAAAACAATACTTTGTTCTGATAGACTACTAGGATAGAGTTTCTGTAAATCCCTGCTAAATTTTCCTGACATTCAGAAGAAACTAAGCCACAATAACTTTTAAGCAGCCACTCTTAGTTTTCCCTTTAAATCAGCCATACGTATATCAAAGTATGTATCAGTAAATCTAAAATGCTTAAAAAGACTATTAAATCATTGTTACAGAAATACCTTCAATCTTTTTTTCATGGTGCTGTTCCATTCTTTCTGTAGTAGATACATCTCATCTGCATCTTCATCAAATATATCCTCACTGGATCGGCTGACTGCAACTTGTACCCAGGACATAACAGCAGTGATGACTATGACCTCTGTTTATGTGGTAAAAAAAATACTGAGAAACTCTCAAAAGTCCCTCTGGCTAAGTATCAGATTAGAAGTATAGGCAAAAAATGTGAATTCTGAAGTCATGTACGGAGCTGATTATTCGACCTGTACGTTTGTTTCCAGATGGAAAACGGATGCTGTTTACCATCAGAGTACATCTGTCAAGAGAAGACAGTCAGATCATCACTGGTAAAGCAACTTCTGTAATTTACGGGGACAACTTGAGACAGTAGTTTCTTGCCTTCTTATGGCAGTGACACGCATATGCATGTTAAATAAGCATTTCTAAATGTTGCTAGTACACAAGCAGCAGGCAGAAACAACTTTATGACTTGATTCTGATAGCAGCTGACGAATAGCCCCATATAGCTTCCATGCAGTGCATTAAGTTATACACATAGGTAATTGCCTGCAGAGCTAATAACTGGCAAGGACTTTCACCTTTGATTTTCAGTTTCCTGGTTACACCAAATACTTAACCATCGTATAAATCTTGAGTAGAAATACTCCTTTATATTTTGAATAAAGAATTTGCTAGTTCTACTGCAGAGGGAAGACGACATAATTGGATTATTTCATCTTTTCTACTGAAGAAAACCTTAAGAGGCCACTCACAACTGATTCATTGCACCGGAGGAAATTCTTACAACCCACAAATGCTGTTTCTTGCACAGGCACCAGCGGCTTTTAGGAAATCGAGGGTCATAAGAGCCATCCCGTGCCCGGCCACGCCGCTTTTCCTGAGACACAACTGGCTGGAGCCTCGCAGCCCGCAGGCTCCCTCCCTGCGGCGGGCGAGAAGTGCACCCCA